AGGTGACCCTCCCCACCAATAGATGGAGCCTCTCCCCAGGTGTTAGTGGTGGCTGCTCTTATCAGCAGCACTAACACTGGCGGGGATGTTTCCCCCCCCAAAAAAAAAAAAAAAAAAAAAAAAAAAAAAAAAAAAAGCCAGACCATCTGGATTCGGACTCGGGACTGTAATGTGAACAGCTCGTGGGTGTACCAACTGAGCTAGGCCCGCTGGTACTCGATCAAATGTGTGAATATGCCATGCTATATTTTCCGGACATCCTTCCTATGTGTAGGGCTTTATACAATATGGATCGAGACTTGAGAAATGAGTTGGTTGGCCTTCTGGAATCTGACGAGAGCCAGGCTGCCATGGCGTGCATGCCTTGACTTGCAGAGAGTCAGAGACTGATGAGGAGCTGCATCACGCGCCTAAACACTGGCGGAGGGCAAAATGCCCTCGACGTGATGCTGGCTGCCAGTTGAACTTTATTTGGCAGTCTGGCCCCCTACTACCGTCTTCCGCCGAACACAACGCACCCTTATTTTGGCTGCATCTGGCCGGAAATATAGCTTGTATAAATTCATTTTTAGGGTGCGTTATGTTCGGGGGAAGACGGTAGTAGTATTGGTCTGCACTTGCTGAACATCTATGATATATATATATATATATATATATATATATATATATATTTTTTTTTAAGAATAGCCCTTATGTAGACCCTCTATCGCGGCGGTGGTAAGAGAAGCGTCAGGATTGAGGGTTTATCTGTCAGGCTGCTCCATCTATTGGTGGGGAGCGGCACCTGCTGGAAATGGGGTCCAGCGTCCCATTGGTACATCTTATAACATGGAGATCGCTGTTTGTTGTTTCCTGCGGCTGTGGGCTTCTCTCTTCTCAGACTCGGTCTATGATAAATTCTAAACAGGGGGGGAATTGACAAAGACTATGAGGAAGGGGATAATTACCTTCCTGTATGAACAAGGGAGATAAAACGGGGATGTTAAGAGTTGGCGACCAATGACCTTCGGGACAACGTCATACGTTAAAATTGGAACGAGACAGGGAAGATCAGCATGGCCCCGGAGAGCAAGGATGCCACGCATACGTTTGGAAAATGGTCCCCCCCCAAAAAAATAAAGGAATTGGCGACCAATGTCAGTATTAAATGCAATTCATGAGATGACACCCAACATTCGCTAGGCAGAACGCCACACTCCCTTTTCGTCCTTTTCCTTTTCTCTTTGTAATTTCTTTTTCTTCTTGTTCTCGATTTCAGGGATAGGCAACCCCCTTTTAAACCCCTCAGTTGTAGGAAATCCTCAAGACCATATCCCCTTCTCTACTTGACAGAGCGAAATGGAGGAAGTGACCCTGTCTTTACATCACGATGGGATCACCTGCCGCAGGCAGGTCAGACCACCCCTGCGAAAGGGGCAGGAAGATCTATGTCACATCAGGTAGGTGAGTGGGTTGAGACAGGCAGGAGGAGGTCGGTAGAAAGGGGGGGGGGGGAATACCTAGGTCATGGACTCGTACAGAGGGTGGGTGAGGGGGTAAGACAGCAGGGGATGGCAGAAGGGGTACGGCCTACTGGTAGGTAGAATTGGACCTAGACAAGCAGGATGGGTGAAGGGGTGAGACAGCAGGGGATGGCTGAAGGGGTACGGCCTACCGGTAGGCAGAATTGGACCTAGACAAGCAGGATGGGTGAAGGGGTAAGACAGCAGGGGGATGGCTGAAGGGGTACGGCCTAGGTGGAATCGGACCTACACAGTCAGGAGGATGGTTGAAGGCATATGGCCTGGGTTAAATTGGCTTAATCAGGCAGGAAGGGTGAAGGGGTAAGACAGGCAGGATGGTGAAACAGGTATAACCCACACCACACTGGTTGGGCCTAGCAGACAGGCAGCATGCTTGAGAGGGTGAGACAGGCATGAGGATGGTTCAACAGGTAAACTGGGCCTACCTTCTTCCCCCGAATACAACGTACGGTCATTATAGCTGCTGTATCTAGACTGAAAGATGCCTCAAATGCAGCTATAATGACCGTACGTTGTATTCGGGGGAAGAAGGTAGACAGGCAGGAGGGCTGAGCGGTAATACAGACAGGAGGATGGTGACGGGGGCAGAAATTTAAGGGGTGAGACCTGGCCCAAATTGGCTTAAGCAGGCAGGATGGGTGAAGGGGTAAGAGAGACCAGATGGTTGAAAGGGTAAGACCTTGGTCAAATTGGGGCTAGACAGGCAGGAGGTAGCTCCATTTTTTTCGAGCCAAAGCCGGGTAATGGCCCTGGTATCTCAATTTCCAAAATTCCATCCTTAGGCCAATTAGATTTTTCTAGTAGTTCTTTGTTTCCTTTTCATGAATTTTCTGTTGAAGTTTTCTGAGCGTACTGGTTATGGGACGCTGGGCCCAGTTCCCAGTTTGTGCCAATTTGTGAGGATATGGTTGTATCTATGGGACGCTGGACCCGGTTTCCAGCAGGTGCTGCTCCCCACCAATAGATGGAGCATGGTTTTTKTTATAAAAAAAAAAAAAAAAAAAAAAAAAAAGAGCGTACTGGTTATGGGACGCTGAGCCCGGTTCCCAGCTGGGCCCGGTTCCCAGTTTGTGCCAATTTGTGAGGATATGGTTGTATCTATGGGACGCTGCTCCCCACCAATAGATGGAGCTTTTTTTCAAAAAAAAAAAAGGGCTGAGTGGTAATACAGAGGAGGATGGTTGAAGTGGCCAGACTTTAAGGGGTAAGACCTGGGCCAAATTGGCTTAGGCAGGCAGGATGGGTGAAGAAGTAAGTTAGACAGGATGGTTGAAGGGGTAAGACCTAGGACACATAGACAGGCAGGATGGGTGAGGGGGTAAGACAAGGCAGGAGGATGGCTGAAGGGGTAATACAGAGGTCACAGTGGGCCTAGACATGCAGGAGGGGTGAAAGGGTAGGAAGACCTACGTTCATCTGCATCCTCCAGACTGCGAGTCATTCATGAGATCTTTATCTTCCTTCATAGCGATGGCCACGACCGTGACGAATGTTAATATTTTTTTTGAATATCGAAATGAAATCATATTGAGACCTTTGAAAAAGTCCCCGATTGCCTTTCGTCTCCCGTTTCATCCTTTGTTGATCATCAGGCATACCACTCCCGTCTTCATCGGAATAGACCGCCCGGTCATTATTATCGCCTTATCTGGACTGAAAAGTTGCACCGACGACAGCTATAATGACCGGGCGCTCTATTCAGGTGAAGACGATAGCTCAAGCGTTTTTTTTATTGACCAAGCACCAAAGCCGATACCCTAAACCTCCAGAACTTGCGGCCATGCGCAAGGAGGATGCACTTCTGCTGTACGCCCTGCTGTGGATGAATCTGACTACAATTCCGTTCAGAAATCAGCTAGAAAAAGTTTCCTCGTGTGACTACGCCCTAAAACTCCGAAACATTATGAGAGAAGGCACAAATAGTGGTGCTGCTGCAAATGGCACTTGGTGCGAAAGGGGCACGATAGCTAAGACCAGGTCGTTGACACAACTTGACAGGAGAACAACCCGTTTGCCAATGGGGACAGCATCGGAGCAAATGGTTTCGTCGCGACCTTTCAAACACCACAACCAGAACTACATATGACAGGACTGCTCCTGTCCTTTCTTTACTTTCTTCTCTATGGGGTAGAGAGGGGGGGAGAGAAGGGAGGAGGGGAGGGGAGGGGAGGAAGATGTGTCTTGCCAGGCTGCATGGGTACTGACCGTTATTGTTTCCGCAATTGATGCTCGTGCTTCCATAAACCCGAACATATGTTGTTTGCGTTCGTGTGCACACCTCATTCGCCATGCCGCCATAAGCATTGGTAGGCGTGTGATGGTGAACAGGTTGGACATATAG